CGGGTGATTGCTGATGTCATAAATAAGAGTGCCAATTGTTAAATCAACAACGGGAGTCACTGGGTACAGGCTCTCCACGTAGGATCTCTGTCCTTAATGTGTTTTACTATGAAACTTAAAGACAACACTACTAGTCGAACAATACCCTATACCTTGTGCGAGTGCAGCCTGTTGAAATCTTTGCTTAGTATATACTAACTTGATCTTCTGTATATGAAGGTAATTCAAAATGAAACTCGATGAAGGGCAGGATGGGAGAGGGAGTGGGAGAGGGGAGGGCTGTGGGAGGGAGGGAGGTTGTGGGGGGGAAGCCACAATAATACAAAAGTTGCACTTTGTAAATTCACATTCATTAAATAAAAAAATAAAAATAAAAATAAATAAAACAGTTTAAATGCAAAAAAAAAAGAAAATAATATTTGGAAACCTGCCTAGAGAAGTATAGACACTGGCTGTTTGGAGACTGCATTTTTTTAACTTTTATTAATAAATATAAATTTCCAAAGTACAACTTTTGGATTATAGCAGCTTTTTCCCCCCATAACCACCCTCCCACCCACAACTATCCCATCTCCCACTCCCTCTCCCATCCCATTCACATCAAGATTCATTTTCAATTATCTTTATATACAGAAGATCAATTTAGCATATATTAAGTAAAGATTTCAACAGTTTGCACCCACATAGAAACACAAAGTGTAAAGTACTGTTTGAGCACTAGTTATACCATTAAATCATATAGTACAACACATTAAAGACAGAGATCCTACATGAGGAGTAAGTGCACAGTGACTCCTGTTGTTGATTTAACAATTGACACTCTTATTTATAACGTCAGTAATCACCCTAGGCTCTTGTCTTGAGCTGCCAAGGCTATGGAAGCCTCTTGAGTTCGCCAACTCCGATCTTATTCAGACAAGGCCATGGTCAAAGTGGAAGCTCTCTCCTCCCTTCAGAGAAAGGTACCTCCTTCTTTGATGGTCCCGTTGTTTCTGCTCACTCACAGAGATCTTTCATTTAGGTTTTTTTTGTTTTGTTTTGTTGTTGTTGTTTTTTTGTTTTTTTGTTTTTTTTTTTTTTTTTTTTTTTTGCCACAGTGTCTTGGCTTTCCATGCCTGAAATACTCTCATGGGCTCTTCAGACAGATCCGAATGCCTTTAGGGCTGATTCTGAGGCCAGAGCACTGTTTAGGACATCCGCCATTCTATGAGTCTGCTGTGTATCCCGCTTCCCATGTTGGATTGTTCTCTCCTTTTTAATTCTATCAGTATTTGCAGGCACTAGTCTTGTTTATGTGATCCCTTTGACTCTTAGTCCTATCATTATGATCAATTGTGAACAGAAATTGATCACTTGGACTAGTGAGATGGCACTGGTACATGCCACCTTGATGGGATTGAATTGGAATCCCCTGGCATGATTCTAACTCTACCATTAGGGATAAGTCCGATTGAGTATATGCCAAACTGTACATCTCCTCTCTCTCTTATTCCCACTCTTATATTTAACAGGGATCACTTTTCAGTTAAATTTAAACACCTAAGAATAATTGTGTTAATTAAAGAGTTCAACCAATGATATTAAGTAGAACAAAAAAATACTAAGAGGAATAAAGTAGTAAGTTGTTCTCGATAGTCAGGACAAGGGCTGATCAAGTCACTGTTTCTCATAGTGTCCATTTCACTTCAACAGGTTTCCTTTTAGGTGCTCAGTTAGTTGTCACCGTGCATCTTTTAAGAAAAGATAAATCTGAATGTCATACTATCAGGGAGAGTGGGACATAGCAAACCAAAGTTGGACAGAGAGGGGCAGTGGTGCCAAACACGGGCTTGAACTAATTCTTCCTTTGGTACTAGGAGTCTCACAGCTTTGCACTGCTGATGTCCACTGCCCAAAATGAAAACCTTCCTTGAGCATGAATTCCCTTCACCTTGCTACGCCCATGGGAGGTCATTCAGCTAAAGCGTTATTAATAAATGGTTCACCACATAGTAGCACTTAGATAAGCAATTAATAGTGTATTTTAAATAAATGGTTCCAGTTGTACACAGAGACCAGTTTATGCATTAACAATGAAGGCAATGGGGCTGGCACTGTGGCACGGTGGGTTAACACCCTGGCTTGAAGTGCCGGCATCCCATATGGGAGTTGGTTCGAGACCCGGCTGCTCCACTTCTGATCCAGCTCTCCTGTGGCCTGAGAAGGCAGTGGAAGATGACCCAAGTCCTTGGGCCCTGCACCCATGTGTGAGACCCGGAAGAAGCTCCTGGCTCCTGGCTTCAGATCGGCCAGTGGTTGCGGCCATTTGGGGAGTGAACCATCAGATAGAAAACCTCTCTCTCTCTCTCTCTCTCTCCCTCTCTCTCTCTCTCTCTCTCTGTGCCCCTCCTCTCTCTGTATAACTCTGAATTTCAAATAAATAAATAAAAATCTTAAAAAAAAAAATGAAGGCGGATAGGCAGCAAGTCCTTTGAATTAAACCAGTGGTGGGATAGAAGAATATGAATAACCTCCTGGATGTCTCTAATGGCTTTCAAGCCATATATAGAGTAGAATGCTCACAAACAAAATTTTACACAGAACTATAATATACTGTATAGATAACATGGGATCTGTTCTTATTGGAATGGGGAGCTGGCTTAAGGAACAAATTGTAACATATTAACTGTCCGCACACACCCGATGCTACTGCAATCACACTGTGGTCCTCAAATAATGCTACCAAATTAGACCACTTCAGTGCTGATAAACAAGAGTCCCATGTGCTTCAGGGACTAAAATTAACCGCAGTATTTCTTTAAAATTACAGGTTGTCCATGACAAATATTGACTATCCTCTCAGATCAAAGTATGCTGTACCCTAGGAAACCCATAAACTGTTCACACAAATTAGCAGGTACATTTTAATAAACTCACCAGATCTAATTCATTCAAATGAGTGTCCTCATTTATCTAACACTTTCTGTGTGCCACACCCTCTTTTATGTTCTTCACATAGATGAACATCTTAAATTCTTATTATAACTCTACCAAGTAAGAACTGTGATTATACACATTTCCAGACAAGAAAACTCAATGAAATGCAGACTTAAGTGATTTACATCAGATTAAACAGCTAGAGATTACAATAGCTGAGATGGTAACCCAGGCAGACTAGCTCTCTGCTCTCCTGACCAATTCTTTGTAGAAGCTGTAAATTTATTTTAAAGATGCTATCATTTTCCAAATTGAGTTTTGGAATTCTATTTTAGGATTATGTTAAATTGACAACACAACCCATGTCAATAATTGGGAATAGAGCATTTTTTTTATTCAAAAACTGGTGTTCAAATCATATGGCACAATTTCAACCTCAAGAAATGAAACCTTAGGAAAATAGAAATGATTGATACAATTATGCTACAGAGAAAACACCAGTACCTGATTGTGTTGGCGCAGTGAAAAGAAACTGAGCACAAACAGTCCTGTTCCAGGCTGGAAACCACACCCCTAAATTCACATGCCCCAGTACACTTCAGAATGTGACGACCTGGAGATAAGGCTTTTGAAAGAAGTAATTAAATTAAAGGCAGGTAATTTGGTGGACCTAATCCAAATAACTGGTATCCTTATGAGAGGAGGTTAGAACCAGTCACACAGAGGGGAAGCCAGGGGAGGACTCAGGGAGAAGACAGCCACCTGCTAGTCAAGGAGAAAGGCCTTAGAAGGAACCAGACCTGCTCACACCACAGTCTCAGCTTCCAGCCTCTAGAACTGTGAGAGACTAATTTTTGTTGTTCCAACAGAAGATCCCACACAATGGGGAGACCAAGAGCTGCTGCAGCAGCAGACATGTGCACAATGGGAACTTTCTTGTCCACAGCTCAAGAGCCATGCATTAAGAATAGTGGCTACAGCAAAGTTGTATGTGACAAGATGGCCGACAACAGCAAAACAAAACAGTATTACTGGGTTAGTCCAGGAGCTCACAACTGCCTTAGCTTAGGTTACGAATGAAATGGGATTCCCTTAAGCACTCCTACAATACTGTAAAAAGAATGCTGCCCCTGGTGCAACTTCAGCTTTGCAAAGGACAGATGGCTCTTCAGCAGTGACTAGAAGGGAAAACCAGTGACTCGCTTCAGATGGTGCGAATCAGAGCTTGCTGAGGGCCAGAACAAGGCATTCTGAAGGAGGATGCAGCCAGGCAATTTTGGCTCAATGCCTTGGAAGTAAGAAACTGCGGCAAGGACGACTGGGTCAAGCGAAGAACCACCTCCACCGCTGCCATTTGGCACCGAGCTATGGCACCTCTCCTCTGCAATGCTGCAGCCGCCTCTCAACTGTTCTCCTGCGTTCACCCTCGCCATCTGGAGTCTCCTCCAGACCACCCAAGGTGAGCCTCCACAGCACGTCACACAAGCTCACAACCCTGCTCCAACACACCCAGCTAATTCGAGTCCACAGGATGGCTGTGACCCTTCTCCCATCACATTTCTGACCTCTTGTCCTGCACCTCCCTTCCCTCTGGCCAGAGGCCTCCTGAAGCTGCTGCTATCTGTCGCAGCTGGCAAAGGCTCCTCCCATGCCCGGCAGAACACACAAGACCAGCTCCCTCTCACCTTCAAGTTTTTGCTCACATCTGACCCTCTCAGGCTGGTCTTACAACTGCACGTTCTTACACTCTCCTCTTTTTGCCCCTATCAATCTATCATTTGGTTATTATGTTTATTGTTTATTTCTGCCTTCTGCCACCAGAAGGCAAGTTTCATTAGGGCAAGCATTTTTTATGGAGAAGGACTGGGTATGTAGCGGGCATCTAATCTACATTTGCTTGATGAATGAGGCTCACATTCTTGCTTTCTAAGAAATAAATGGGTCAGGGAGCATCCTCACCTGTAACAGAGTCATACTCAAGCCACAGGCTGGTGAGTAGCTCCCTCTTTTAGCCCACTTCCCACCAGGGTGTATAACAGTGTGACTTGGGGTAGAGCCTTGCATGAAAGAGAAAGAGAACTTACAAACTTGTAGCTAATGTCAGAAGGGAGATCTCTTCCCCTCTTAGAAGTCTTCTTTTGGTCTTTTTTTCCTTTTAGATGGTTTCTTTCATGGAACATTACTGGCTGAGTTGTGCCCAACAGCAGATTCCTATGTTGATGTCCTAACCATCCAGGCCTCTGAATGTCACTGTAATTGAAAACAGAGTCATTGCAAATGCAATTATTTATAAGTTAAGGTAAGCCCGATTGTAACATGAATGTTCTTATTAAAGGAGGAGATTTGGATTCAGAGATTTGCATAGAAGGAAGCCCATGTGGAGACACAGGGAGATGGCCAACTGCAGGACAAGGAGAGAGGCTTGATACAGACCTTTTTCTAAGAGCCTTCAGCAGCAACTAGCCCTGCTAAAACCCTGATCTTGGATTTCTGGGCAAAATCAGTTTGTTTTTAAGCTACTATCTCTGGTACTACTTTGTTATCGTGGCAAATGAATACAGACCAACATGGACTCAAAGGCCCAGGGAAGCTGCCTCATTACCGCCCTTTGGAACAGTAAGAGCTAGAATTATAGAAGGGAGACGTAAGCCTGGGCAAAAGGAATCTGGGAGCCTCCGCCTGGAAACTCCAGCCAGCGTTCGAGCTGTCTTCAGGATGGATGAGCTTGCAAGGTCACAGAATGGCTCCATGAGACGCGGTGTGCACACACATAGAGCACCTAGCCAAGATTCCCTAAAACATATAGCTGCATTAGGTATCTGGTTGAAGTAGTCTATGCTCCAGTAAAATAGCAACTAACAGTGTCTACTCCCTATTTCTCCATATACTGGCATGTGGAGACTCTTATCTCAAGAGCCTTATAGCAGACTGAAGCCACACCAGGAGAGAGGTGTGGGAGGGAGGGTCCTAACACCTCAGCGGGCAGTGCTGGAGCCCGCCCACGCCTCCACAGGGACCCTGGGTCCGCAGACCACGGGAACTGTTCCCTGAGGAGGGAGGGTCCTAACATCTCAGTGCGCTGTGCTGGGGCCCGCCCACGCCTCCATGGGGACCCTGGGTCCGCAGACCATGGGAACTGTTCTCTGAGGAGGGAGGGTCCTAACACCTCAGCGGGCAGTGCTGGGGCCCGCCCACACCTCCACGGGGACCCTGGGTCCGCAGACCATGGGAACTGTTCTCTGAGGAGGGAGGGTCCTAACACCTCAGCGGGCAGTGCTGGAGCCCGCCCACGCCTCCATGGGGACCCTGGGTCCGCAGACCACGGGAACTGTTCCCTGAGGAGGGAGGGTCCTCACACCTCAGCGCGCTGTGCAGGAGCCCGCCCACGCCTCCACGGGGACCCTGGGTCCGCAGACCATGGGAACTGTTCCCTGAGGAGGGAGGGTCCTAACACCGCAGCGGGCAGTGCTGGAGCCCGCCCACACCTCCACGGGGACCCTGGGTCCGCAGACCACGGGAACTGTTCCCTGAGGAGGGAGGGTCCTAACACCTCAGCGGGCAGTGCTGGGGCCCGCCCACGCCTCCACGGGGACCCTTGGGTGGGCAGACCCGGGTAACTGTTCTCTGAGGAGAGAGGGTCCTAACACCTCAGCGGGCAGTGCTGGAGCCCACCCACGCCTCCACGGGGACCCTTGGGTGGGCAGACCACGGGAACTGTTCCCTGAGGAGGGAGGGTCCTAACACCTCAGCGGGCAGTGCTGGAGCCCGCCCACGCCTCCACGGGGACCCTTGGGTGGGCAGACCCGGGGAACTGTTCTCTGAGGAGAGAGGGTCCTAACACCTCAGCGGGCAGTGCTGGGGCCCGCCCACACCTCCACGGGGACCCTTGGGTGGGCAGACCACGGGAACTGTTCCCTGAGGAGAGAGGGTCCTAACACTCAGCTCACCTAGCGTGAACCGCCCACGCCTCCACCGGAGATCCTGGCGATGGGAAGACCTGGGAACTGTTCCCTGAGGAGGGACTGTCCTAACATCTCAGTGCGCTGTGCAGGAGCCCGCCCACGCATCCACGGGGACCCTGGGAATTGGCAGACCTGGGAACTATTTTCTGTGGAGGGAGGGCATTATGGGTAAGTGCAGTCTGGGAGAAGTTCACTTCGGATCAGAGGGCATCATGGGAGAGGGCATCTGGGCGAGGACGGCGTCACAGGGTGAGGTCATCTCTGTGCAGGGGGCATTGGCAAGGGCATCGCTGGTCAAGGGTCACTTCCGGTCCAGGGGCACCTGGGTGAGGGTCATGTCTGCTGGTTGCTTCGCTGGGTAAGGGTCACTTCCAGGCCAGGGGCATCTGGGTGAGGGTCATCTCTGCTGGTTGCTTCGCTGGGTAAGGGTCACTTCCAGCCTGGGGCATCATGCGTAGGGTCATTTCTGGGCCAGGGGCATTTTCAGGGAAGGTCATTTTCAGGCAAGGGCATCTGGGTGAGGGTCATTGCTGGAGGGGGCTTCCAGGCAAGGGCATCTTCGGACAAGGGTCACTTCTGGGCCAGGGTCATCTTCGGGTGAGGTCAGTTTCAGGGATGGCATCTGGGTGAGGGGCATTGCTGGGCGGGAGCACCCAGGCAGGGGCAAGGGTCACTTCTGGGGCAGGGGTATCATGGGTAAGGGCAGCCTGGGTGAGGTTCACTTTGGGCCAGGGGGCATCATGGGTGAGGGTGTCTGGGCGAGGAGGGCATCTGTGTGAGGGTCACTGCTAGGCGGGGGCACCTGGGCAAGGGCATCTTGGGCAAGAGTCACTTGTGGCCAGGCACTGCACAGGGAAGCAGGGCCTGCCAGCAGTGGACAGCCGTCTGCTGTGCTGGGCATTCAGAGGGGTGAAGAGGCCTCTTCCAGGCTGGTCTCCTTACACTGTGACTCCAGGGGCACTGCCACGTGTGTGTGTGTGTGCGCGCGCACGCCCATGTGTGTGTGTGTGCGTGTGTGTGTGTAATATGAATTTTTATAGATATTTCTAGAACAGGGCAGGAGCAGGACCGCAGAGAGACACAAATTTTCACCAAGGTCACGCCTGGAGGTGTCAGCTCACCACACAACAGAAAGTCACAGATGAAGGGGAGGCTTTGGGGCTGAGGGGCCCCCTTCAATCCACAGAACAGCTGTCCAGGCAGGATGGCAAAGGGAGGTCTCCAAGGAAGAGGAAGGATCTGGTTAGAGGTCGAAGGGGGGCCTGGGGCTCTCAGGACGGGACAGCCTTGCCTGACCCAATCGTCTGGCAGTGGGCGAGAAAGCAGAGAGAACAGCGGAGAGAGGAGAGAGACAGGTGGTAAGGCAAGAGCAGCCAGGCCACGGCACTGGTGGGCAGGAAGCAGCAGCAGGTGGGCACGTGGGTGAGCTTTCTGGAAAAGGCCAAGGACAGGAAGGGGAAGGAAGATGGGAGGAGGAGCTGGAGTGGGTGACCAGAGCTTCCGGGGAGTCGGGGTGGAGGCTGGAGAGGGCCTCCCCTGCCACTCACGCCACCTCTCACTCACCTCCCAGGCAGCACAGCCACAGTCCTGACATTGTCTGGCCCTCTCGGGCTTCCCTCCTCCCTGACGGCCCTGCCTTTGGACCCACTGGCCAGGGCCAGCACTAGCCTGGGAGGCTCACGTGGCAGCCAGCAGGCCTGATGGAGAAAGACAGGAGGAAGAACCCTGCTTGAACCAGGAGCGTGCAGCTAAAACAGATGGCTGGAGGGGGCGCCGGAGGCCCCTCGGGTGCTCAAAAAGCCCAGGAGTCCTCTGAGGGGACCCTGAGGAGGCAGGGCGGGCAGGGGGCCACAGACTCCCAAATCTAAGAGGGGAGCCTCGGCTGGTCTGGAGGCTGCAGGTCGTGGAGGCGAGTTTGGGCCCTCCCTGCTGGGGAAAAGCAGAAGAGGGAGAGTCAGAGGCCAGCGAGGAGTGGCAGGTGGGGCCCTGGGCCAACTCTGCGGCCCGGCCAGGCGGAACTCAGAATAGCTGACCTGCCCTGGCTACGGGGCTTCATCCGGGGCTGAGGACCCCGCCTTCAGCCAGTAGCAGGTGTGACAATGCCCAGGAGGGAGGCAGGAGGCTGTGTGTCCCCGCCTCACCTGGGCTGATGGGTGCAGAGGATTCTCAGGCTTTGAGGTCATCAAGCAACTGGAGGCTTCCCCGGCCACTCTCAACTGCACACCCAAGGGACGAGGTGACCCCCAGCCTTTCACCCTGGCCTGTGCTGGGGCTCCCAGGCCAGGGGGCAGGATACCCCCCTGCCCCCAGCAGCGCAGCTCCGACTGGGGCGGGTGTGGCATGTCCAGGATGAGATTCAAAGGCCTCTGGCTGTCCCACAACACTCCCCAAGTTCCCAGCCCCTACACCATCAACCACAAGCTCCCTGGCCTCTCTGACAGCTCAGAGGGCACCCACGTCTGCCAGTGGTGCGGATCCTGTCCCGAGAACCCCCAGGCTCAGCCACGGAGGCCCTGGGCAGCTGCACTGAGTCCCGAGGCTGCCTGGGAAGGGAGAGGAGAGAGCCAGCTGGCCCAAGGACAGAAACAGGAACGAGGGAGTCTGGCGCTGCAGTAGGGAGAGGGAGGGGCCTGGCCCTGAGGTCCCAGGGGCGCCCCCCAGTGTGGGGCTGGTGCAGCGGGGCAGACGCGGTCCTGAGGCAGGCAGAGTGGCAGGTGCCTACCTTGGCTGACACTCCTCAGGGGCACTGAGAGGGATTCTGAAAGACAGCTCAGGAGCCTCCTGGAGTTTTGTCTGCCCGGGAAGACTGAGGAAGGCCCTCCTGTGGGCTGTGGTTGAGGTGGGGGAGGGCTGGGGGTAGCCATGATGCCACTGTATGGGGGGGGGCACGTAGACAACCTCTCCCCATTGGGTGGGCTCAGAAATCCTCATGGGGGATGGAGGGCATTGGCACCCACAGCGGTTGGCGGGCGCTGGCAACCTCATGGGTCGGGGGACAGAGACACCCTCCCAGGTCAGGGGGCATGGGCACCCTCACGGGGTCGGTGGCCACAGCCACCCTCACCAGGTCGGGCGGCAGCCATCCTCACAGGGGTAGGGGCAGCAGCCACCCTCATGGGGTTGGCGGTTCAGGCACACTCATGGGGTTGGGGATGCTGGCACCCTCATGGGTCGGGGGGCACTGGCACCACGTGTCGGGGCCCCTGCACCCTCATGGGATTGTGTGGTAGAATGAGAAGGTCGTGCCAAGATTGCCGCTGGCATCAGTTACTCAGGAATTGCTTCAGAAACTCCCTGGGAAACCACATGGCAACGGAGCCTGCCTGGCAACAGGCTGTGACTGGTTAGGGCATAAACCACCCCTTGACAAAATTGACTGCCTCGGCTATATAAGCTGCTGCACCAACTGAAATAGACGAGTCTGCTGGCTGCTCACCTCTGGCCTGCTTTCACCCGACTCCCGGCATCTGTGTGGTGACTCTGCGCCTCTTGCCCCCACCACGCTCCTCCTCTCAGAAGGAATCCACAGCAACATCTGGCACCAACGTGACTGAGAGAGACACTGTGTCGGACTCGGTGAGGTCCCCCCTGGATTTCAGCAAGTAGGCCCCTCGGTGTTTTGTGTGCTGTTTGGTTCTGTGAGAGTGAGCACAGAACCCCCTCCTACGCCCTTTCCTTGCCCTTGTCCTCGGTCTAAGTGACCCCAGGTTAGGCACACACCACCCAGAAACCTAATGCCGCTTCTCGGCTCCTCCTCTTACTTTCGGTTCACCTGGCGAATTCACATAAGGGACTGATCATCCCAGAAATTGGAACCAAGTCATCTACCCTCCCTCGAGAGAGTTGACGCTCCGGAGACACCGTGTGAGCATACGGCCTTGACCTAATGAGTCAAGGAAGTCCCCCTCTAAGCACAGGACAAACGTACGACCTGATA